ACCAATTATCACATTAAACAAGAGAAAAACCTTCTACGCACCAATTCCACCCATGCTTTTTACAATTTTGTAAATAACAAATTAAAAGACTCAAGGTCCATCCCACCCCTGATAGGACCTAATGGTAAAGACTGCAACGACAACACCATTAAAGCCAACATCTTTAACACATTCTTTGGCTCAGTATTTCTAAGCAGCAATGGATCATGCCCAGTATTTCCTAGCCGAACCACAGACAACTACAATGATCTAATACATATCGATTTTACAGAAGACAATGTTGAAAAAGCACTACACAATCTAAAACCATCTCTATGTATTGGACTGTTGCAGCAGATCCTGTTTCCAAATCAGGACACAAGACCACGAAGGGTAGGAGAATACAGGTTTATTTGCGCAAAAGGTTCAGAGCATTAGCATGGCAAATTCTGAACCCCCGGCTCTTCCTGAGGTGTCACTTTTATACATCTCACAGCCTCAGCCTAGCCCGGGGCGTTTCTCTTATCAAGCTATACCGTATCATATCTACCATAGAAAGGAGAAGTAAATCGAATTAGTCATTTTACACAATTCAGCATATGCATACTTACCTTACACCCTCCGTTATTTTCCATACCTACCCTTGTTTACTGGAACATGTATAGTTCTTTAGTTCAGTAATTTCGTGGTTTACACAATACTGTATTAAGCAACTTCCATAATATTTGCTAGGAAACTTCTGCTAATTATGAGAATACTTTTCTGATAACTTTCCATTCTGCTTCAGGACCAGACGGAATATGTGCCTACTTTTTAAAAAAGCTATCCACTGCCATAGCCGAACCTCTAAGCATAATCTTTGAAAAATCTTTCAGGACCAACTCCTTGCCAAAACTATGGTCACAAGTCATGGGCATTCCAATCTTCCAAAAGGGAGACCCCAGCCTAGTTGAAAATTACAAACCAATCTCCTTATGCTGCGTCACCTGTAAAGTCATTGAATCAATTAACTAATCCATTATCCTCCACTTAGAGACAAGCAACCTACTCTCAAATAAACAATTTGGTTTCAGAAAAAAACTATCCTGTAATCTGCAACTCTTACACTGCAAAAACATATGGACTACACAACTGAACCAAGGAAAAACAATAGACATAATCTACCATAGACTTCTGTAAAGCCTTTGATTTAATAGTACACGACAAACTACTCTTAAAACTAAAATCTTATGGTATCTCTGGACAACTGCATAACTGGACAGAAGCATTCCTGTCAAACAGACAACAAATGGTCAAAATTGGCAGTGTCCTATCAAATTCTGTACCTGTCAATAGTGGTGTCCCCCAAGGCAATGTGTTCTAGGATCAAGTCTCTTCATACTCTACATAAATGACCTCTGTGATCATATTAAGAGCAACTGCGTTCTCTTTGCTGATGATGTAAAGCGGTTCAATACCACAGACAATACTGCTACCCTTCAAAAAGATCTTGACTATGTATCAGAATGGTCAAACAAATGGCAACTTCAAATCTCAACAAACAAATGCTCTGTCTTACATATTGGCAAAAAAATCAGAAAATAAAATACAAGCTGAATAGTCAAGATCTTGTTGATGATCCAAGCTCTGTAAAGGACCTTGGAATACTCATCTCTAATGATCTAAGTGCTAGAGCCCACTGTAACTACATAGCCAAAAAGGCATTAACAGTTGTTAACCTAATCCTACGTAGCTTTTTCTCTGGTAATATCACACTACTAACAAGAGCATACAAAACATTTGCTAGACCAATACTCGAATACAGCTCATCAGTCTGAAACCCACATTACGTATCTGATATTAGCACAGTTGAGAAAGTCCAGAAATATTTCACAAGAAGAATTCTCCACTCCTCTACTCGTTGTAAAATACCTTATGCCACCAGACTTGAAATTCTAGACCTAGAAAACCTTGAAGTACGCTGTCTTCGGTCTGATCTAAGTATGGTATATAAAATCATACATTGCAACGACTTACCTGTCAATGAATACTTCAGCTTCAACCATAACAACACAAGAGCACACAATAGATACAAACTCAAGGTTAACTGCACCAAACTTGATTTCAGGAAATACGATTTCAGCAACAGAGTGGTCAATATCTGGAATACTCTACCTGGCTCTGTGGTTTCTTCCCCAAACCCCCAAAACTTTAACCTTAGACTTTCTACAATTGACCTCACCCCTTTCCTAAGAGGTCTGTAGGGGGCGTGTATAAGCGCACCAACGTGCCTACTGTCCCTGTCCTATTGTTTTTTTAATTTTTCTTATATGTACCCATTTCATGTATTCATAACTTATACCTATTATATACTTATACCTATTATCTTGTAAGCGATTTGACAAATCAAAATAAATAAAATAAATAAAAAATAAGATTCCCTTCCCTCTATTTGGTTTTGTGACTGAGTTGTGAAACAACTGTTCTATACAATGGAAAGACTGAATCCTGCTTCTATCAGGACTAGTTTTCCTTTACTTGTGCATTCTGTTCTGGGAAAACCAATTGGCTCATTTGAGGCTATATTATTATCAGCAAAACCATGTGTCATTTCCTGTGAATATGGTATTCAGGCTTTTCATTGTTTCCCTTCTTTTCAAAACCCCCCTCCTTTTTTCTAATCCTTTGAAAGCAAGGAAGCAGAGTGAATGGGAGGCCATATGATGAATCTCTGCTCATTTGCCTATTAAATAAGCTGTGGTTTCCAAATCTAAAATAGAGTGGCATTCAAGAGATGTATAAGTTACTGTACTTGAGCTACTTTCTCACAATGGTTCCTACTGTGGAATATATTGACATGTTGCATTGAAGAGGGTAGAGTGAAGTGACCAAAACATTCCATTTCTATCATATGGTTCTTTCCATTTCCAATGATTGTTCTTAATGATATGCTATCTTGAGAAATATTTTGTTTACTAAGAATATAATGTTTCATAGTTATTATACATTTTGTAAATTGAATTATACTTAATGAAATTTCTGTTCAGAAGCTCTTCTACACGGGTGTCAAACTCAATTTCACTGAGAGCCACATCAGGGTTGTGTTTGACCTTAGGGGGAGGGGGGGCTAGGGTGGGTGTGGGCCAGCATGGCCAGCATGACATCACTGTGGGCCAGCATGGCCAGCATGACATCACTGTGTCAGGAGGTGCCTGTGGTGGCCTGAGCAGTCTGCCAGCAAAAATGGGCTCCTGAGCTCAGTTTTCAGCTGGGATGGCCTCCTGCAAACCTCTGCCAGAAAAAACAGAGCTCAGGAGGGCCGTGCATGACCGGTCCCTTGCTGTTTCCAGGGTAGCCCTGCGGGCCAGATCTAAGCACCCTGTTGGCCAGATCCAGCCCCTAGGCCTTGAGTTTGACACTCCTATTCTAGTATATCTTGACACAATTAGTTACCATTTTGACATAGCCTACAACTCCATTTCCTCTGGACACTTGGCCAATAAATTAAGAAGGTCCCAGAAAAATTGCTTAAAGAATTGGTTAAAAAGAATTGCTTAAAGTTGTATATTTATAATTTTAACTGCTGCAGATGAGTAGGAGTTTAGTTACTCCTACAGGGAGCAGTGTTTTCAAATGCTCTGAGGAACCAATTGGGACAGGTTTGCAACCAGGAAGGAATGTTTTTCCTTGAAATCAAATTGGTTTCTATTCTTATAGCATAACATGTAAGCTGAGTAATTTACCTGAGTTATTACCTCACTAACCTGTAGCACACAATAGCATTGATATATGTAGGTTTGTTTATAGTAGAGAGATGAAGTGGCCTTCCTTCTATGCCTAACAATTGGAACATTCCCAAGAGGTTAGTCATGATTATATTTGTCCCAAGCAGGTTTACAAGTTAAGTGAAATTAAAAACTTGCATGTTTGATTCAGCCCCTCTTATGGTTTGTGTTTAAAGTTGAAAAGACCAGGCAATCAGACCCAAAATCTAATGAAATACTAGCCTTTTTTTTTACTCATCTTCTAATATGAAAACTTCCAAACAAAAATTGGCAACTAACAAGCATTCATACAAATCTTAGTATATGAGCCAATAACTTGCTTTTATTGACAAATAGCTGTGTTCCTAAAATGAGATTCAGGGGTAGGATTCTACTTGTTCAGACCGGTTCTATAGAACCAGTTGCTACGATTCTGTGCAATTCGGAGAATTGGCATGTTTTGCCACTGGCTGGTCCCTCTCCTCCCGCCCCTTCCCATGCAGTCACTCCTTTTAGATTAGCAAGAAAGCAGAAAATTGTGGGATTTCTTGCTTTCTAGCTAATCTAAATCGCTGTTGTACTGCTTTGCCTTCGCCCAGAAGCTTCCCTGAGGCCTAGTCAGTTGTGGTATTCGGAGGGGGGGGGGGGAGTTGCTAGAGAGCAGAGTGGACCTTCCTTAGGACTAAAGCTTCTATTTTTCAGTGCAGACTCAGGCAGCAGATTGTAGAAAGGTAGATCTGTGAGTGAATCTGTGATTCTGCAAGCAACTCAATCCGCCTGCCTGCTTTGCCTGATTTTGGGTTAAAATTGCTCTTTTTTAAATAAAAAAATTCAATATTTACATAAATATTTACAATATTTACCACCAAGCCACACCCACAAATTAGGCCACACCCACAGAACTGGTTGTTAAGAAATCTGAATCCCACCCCTGATGAGATTCCTAATGGAGCATAACTACTCAGATGGAGACAGGCTGATATCAGCACAATAACAGGATGCCACAAATAATGGATTGCTAAACAGAAGTGCAGCTTCTTTTGAAATTGTCTAGTATGCTACAGTTAGCCTGGGTAATTATTTACCCAATACAGGGATGGGAATCTCCAACGGATGCACTGTATTTCATCCACTGCAATAGCTGTGAAGAAAAGTATATCTGGGAAACTTTTATTTCCCTAATTATTTGAGCAAAATGGGGGTGGGGTAGGGGGGCAGAGGGAATCCAGGAGGTCAGGAGACAAGATCTTATTTGCAAAAGCAAGCTTTCTGACTCACATTCAGTTCAATTATCCAGAGGAGTGAGATGAAGAGAAGGTCAAAAGTCACAAAGAGACAGAAGGTTCGCCGCACATCAGAAATGGCTCTTCTTCTCTCAGGAGAAAAGAAATGTGGAGAAAACCCCGGGGAATATGAAAGTGAGGAAGCAATGGCAGGAAGACTGTGATCCAAATCAGCGTTCTGCAAGTTACACAACTTGCTCATCCTCGGAGTGAGCAGTGAAGTTGTTGATATTCATGTACAGATGTGTCATCCGTGATCTTGTCAATGGATCATCTGTTTTGAGGGAAAGAAGAGAGGTGAAAAGAGGAAACACATGTATAAGGCCTTCTAGATGTTAAAACTATTCTTTCTACCAAGCAATCAGGATGGCATATTCAATAGAAACCCAAGCATATTTTTGAATTAGATCAGATTGACTTGCCGTGGTTGCACAGTTGTTCACGGCAAGTGGAATCCCATCACTACCACTTCTTCACAAGGCATGCAGGCAAAGAAATGCAGTATCACAATACAGATAGGAGGGGTATAAGAAGAATGCAAAAGCACCTACCCAGAATGAGCTGAAATAAATCTAAATACAAATTCACTTTTAATATTTGTTTAGAATAAGATAGGACTTATTCTGTGCGAGCAGGAATGAATCTGGCTTCCTATCTTCTTCCCCATTGAATTTCCTTGTGGGAACTGTCAAGCTGTCAGAAAGCATCCAAAACTCCACTCCACCCCTCCCTCCAGCTGCCCATTTTCTTTGCAAATGCAAGGCCAGCAGACAGATAAGCGGCTGCTGGGGAGGTAGCAAGGTTAGCTGTGGTGTATGTGGGCAGTGTGGGTCAGGAAGGGTGTGAGTAGGCGCAACCAATGTCCCATGTGTCAGGGAAGTCGTGAAGGGAAATACGTGAGCTGGTTCTGTGAGAGACTTTGTGTGGTTAGGGAGAGCGTGTGTGAATGGGTGGCATGGACCAGGAAGGGTACACTGGGATGGATGATAAATCTACACATGTTGGGTAGTGTATGTGAGGGTGATGCAGACTGATGGGGGTTGCAGGAGTGTGCAAGAGGTGCTGTGTGTGTGGTGAGATTGGAGAGGACAGGTGGGAGAATGGAATAAGTCAGTGTAGGGAGGTGTGCAAAGGTTGCCACATTTGTTGAGTAGGTCTGGAGAAAGTGGGGTGAGAAAAGTGTGTAGGATTTCCTTTCGCTGGTTTGTCCTCCCTCCCTCTGCTGTGTGGAAGGGCTTATAGGAATCATGTGACAGGATCATGTGACAGCAGCAGCTAGATCACATTAGTCACAATTTCCCCAAACTTCGTTCCTCAGAAACAACAGGTTCTGTAGTTAACCCATTTCAGCTCTGTTGATAAAATTTTGCCCTATTATACACCCTTTCATCCAGGTAAAGTTACACATATGAGAGTTTTAATAGTTCATAAATTAAACAACACAGGAAGTCTCCTGAAGGTTTTTGAACATGAGTAATCTTTTAGGAAAAATGAACAACTGGTAAGAAGTTATGACGCTCACTTCTGAAGTACTGTTCAGTAGATTCAATGGCAGAATGAAAGCAAGTATGAAAATGCTGGGCCATCCTATTCCAGCTTCTGTCAGTTGATCCATGTGGGGGATGAGAAAATCATATCCCCCTCCCTAATATCTACAACTGTTATATCAGATGGTGGTTTGCAGATTTGGAAACAATCAAAGGTCATCTAATCCAACTTTCTACCCAAAGACAGCAGGGTTGGAAGAAGTATTCCGCAATAACTAGACTCTAGAAGCAAAATACATGGGAGGTGGGGGTTCAGTCTTCTCCATACCTCATTTGCATTTGCTTGGGATAAGGCCAACCACCCAACAATCAATCCAGACAGATCAAATTATAAAATCAAAATTGCAATTTTAAAAAGTTCAACAGTTAAAAAAAAAACAGAAAAAAGCTTTGTTCCTCGGCATAGCTAAGCTCCAAGAACAGGGTGTGTGGAATTTGTGGAGGGGGGTGGGGTGGGGGAGTTCCAGATCTGCAAAAAAAGTAAACTGTCCAAATTATGAGTCACATGTTACATCTCCCCAAGTGGCAGCTTTCATCATAAAATTTATGCCAGTTACGACCGAGGCAATTAGATTTTCCATCTGTGCATTTTGCAAGGAAAAGCTACAATTTACACATGTGTGTGCCCTTTCCATAAAGGTTGCTATGTATGTAGGCATCAAACTTGGTTCCCAAGCAACATTCAAACAGTCCCTGCTAAAATGACCTTCAATCACTAAGCTTCACTGGATTTAGGGGTGGGGAAGGACGAAAGTCACTGTAAATAATACTGTAAGAATTGGCAGTTTTATTCCTTATTGGAGATAAGTGGCTTAAAGTTCAGCCATTTTACAATTCCCTTACAATATATGCCTGCTATCACTGCACAACTTTGAGACCCCTTACATTTCTATCATAACATCCATCTCAAAAAGATAAATAATGAATCATAACTAATTCCTCTGGTTAAAAAGAACAAAAACAAGAGATTTCTTAGAACAAAACCTAGGTTTATGAAGAGAAGGAGAACAATGCTATGTATTTGGTTATCAAAGTTAGGGGGGAAGTGAACATACTTTACCAAAGTAAAAAAAACAAAAAAAATGAACACTTTTTATTCTAAATAAATAAAAAGTATATAGAACCCCAAATGTTTGTATAATATTGGTTTAATTATAGGAGTTGCCATTTTACTGAATACAATGAGAAGAGTTGTCTGTTTCATCAGATTGCACAATCTATTTCTGCCATTTCAGCTCTTGCTTCACACTGGGCAAAGAAGTAGATTTAGACTTATTAGGAAAAAACAATCTCTGATCCTCTTGACTGATCCAGATTGGATCCTCCAACATTATCCCGGAACACGTAAATTTGCCATCATTCATGTTAGGAAGTTCTCCTATATTCAAGGCCACTGCTGTTGGGCAGCTAAAGGCTATGGTTGAGAGGGTTATGTCCAGCTTTATCTAACAGACCAGCGACAGCTCTATCTGAATTATGAGATTCTTGCATGGGGACATATAGTCTTTGTCACTTTGAAACTAGATCACTGCAATGCTCTATACATGGGACTACCTTTGAACACTATTCAGAAATGGTTATTGAGTGCCTCCATTTATGGTGGATGTTAGCTGTCAACAGCACATTTTGCCTGAACTACAGGCCTATGTTGGTGGCCAATATGTTTCTAAATGAAAATCAGAGTTACAAAATCAGTTATGTTTTTCTGTTGCTGGCTTGGCCCTATTGAATAGTCTCCTCCCCAAAATTAAAGCTTGTTCATCTATTCTAGCTTCAAAAAGCTCCTTTTCCGCAGATGGCTGGTAGTTTCTGGGTTATGAGTTTTGCCATTATTTTATTATTTCATGTACTTTTACTCACTTCGTGGGGAGATAAGTAGCAAACAAAATAGATATACAAATAAAAATTATAAATTTGTTTTAATTATTTTAGCACCATCCTGTACTTTTACTACAGACATTTTAAATGCTGAACATTGTGAATGTTTCATTTTTAATTGCTATTCTAAACTGCCATGAGTCTCAAATAATTTGATGGGATATAAATGCAATAAATATGTGTTTAAATATGTGAAGTCATATAAGATTATTTGTCATAGTAACTGAGAATTTCACATAACTGCATTGGGAATTTCTTTTTTAAAATTTTATTCTATTTTTCATCTTCTTCACCTGACAATGAAGATTTGACTTATGTCCTACTTTTATCTTTGATCAACTCAAGGCAACAAAAGCTCCTGTCTTCTTTTTTCCTCATAGCAACAAGCCTATGATGAAGGTTGGGCTATATGACAGTGACTGGTCCAAAGTTATTCAAGAAAATTTTATAGTTGGGGGAGGCTTCTAAGAAAGGGGGTGAGGGAGAGAAAGAAAAATTATCCGTTTATCTTTAACCCAAATCCTCAAGCTTGAACATTATAGTTGATTTATTCTCTAAGTGGGATATATATCTGAAAATTGGAATTTTGTATGAACTATCTTCAATTCTTTCAAACATTTCAATCTTGAATATTTCACTTGAAATATAATGAACAAGTTTAAGCATACTACTAACAATAGGGGTACAAAAAAATCCACCAGGGCTCCAGACTTCACAAAAGAATGAGGATCAAGACCAGCATTTTTCTTCAAGCTTTAGATTGCAACTAATTTTACTCTTTGCTATCTTGGCAATATCAGCTGGAATGAAGAGAGTTCTAGATAAATATACCCAGAAAGAACTCAATGGAAAAGATTGGACTCTGAATAGAAAATCTATCAGCATTTCACAGTACAATTTGCAAGGTGTGATTGCTGGTCTAGAAGTAATGTAGAATTCCACAATTATTTTTGTCTCACAGGTGTATTTCAATTTTTTTTACTCAGGGTGAAGGAGCTCCAAAAAGATTGATAACCTCAACATGAAAAAAGTTCAGTCTTCGCACCAGACTTTGATCTTGGGTTCAGGGTTTTCCAAAACTTCTCTCAATTCTTTCTTCTGAGGGACATAACAATAAGAACAATGTAGCTTTAATTTTTGCTACCAAATTTGCCTAAATTTCAATGGTTCCTTTCACTTAGGAACTTTTAAGCACTCTTTAAAGAAAAACAATGAAGGTAGCTCTGAACTTACAACACAGTTGGAACTAGAATTTCCACTGCTAAGTCAGATGGTTATTAGATGAGTTGTATTTAATTTTGTGACCCTTCTTGCTATGGTTAACTGAACCACTGCAGTTGTTAAATGAACTGTGCAGTAGTTAAGCAAATTTGGCTCCCCACATTGACTTGTTTGTTGGAAGCCAGGTGAGAAGGCCACAAATGGTGATCACATGTCCACAGGATGCTGCAATCATTATAAAGATATACTGGTTGCTAAGTGTCCAAAATTTAATCATGTGATCCAGGAATGCTATAATGGTTGTAAGTGCAAGAACCAGCCATAAGTCATTTTTTTTTACTGCCATTGCAATTTTGGTTATTAAATGAAAAAATTAAATTAAATTGAGACTACTGTATCAGAAGGAAAGCTGATATGACAATCTGGAGCAAAGTGTCCTCAATCTATAAAATCTAAAATTTATTGATAGTTCGGAGAGGTGATAAATGGTTGAATAGGAGTGGCAGCAATGAAGACAAGTTCTTAATGGCTTAATTGTTTTTGGAATTAGAAACGAGAGTAAGTTAACAGGAATTTAAATTGACAAAAGAATCAAGGGAATAAAAATGAAACTGGAAAATAATGCAAGCATGAGTAAAATCACTTCCTGATCACAGAAAAATCCCAAATGATCAACCCCTTCTGCTTTTAAAATACGTTTACATGTTTTACACATTTCAGAAGGGGATTCCACATCTTCATATAACGTTTTGAGAAAATAAAGAAGCAGAACAAACTGCTATGTTAACTTGCTACAAAAAGACATGCTACTGTTTAGGCATGAAGGCCAACTAGTAGTTGGAAGGTAAAATTATTAAACTTATTTAGTGCACTGTCATAAACTCCTTTTGCTATGAACAGCACAGCCTCATAAACAAATTGGGTGTGACAAACACAACTTGCTTGTTAACAAGGATATAGCAGTGTTTGATTACGTAAATGTTACTTGAAGGTAATGAAAGAAAACTCGAATGTTTCGAAACAACTCACTACTCTTTCCTGGTTAGCCTGGATCAGCAGAGATTGCAATGGCAAACTAGAAACATAAGTGTATCGAAAAACCACCCAATAATAATAATCCTTAACTCTGTGTAAGAACCCTATTCAGATGAGTACAAACAACTCAGCAGCCCTGAACAGCAGAAAAAGGAATACAGCATCAATACAGTATCTTCCAACAAAATGGATATCCATACAACTTCATCAAATGTGCCTGACCTCTCAACCCAATATAACACAAGCTGTAAAAAGGATAACACTACCAAACATTAAAAAAAAAATCAGAAATCACTAATGGACCATTACAACCACTTGGAATCAGTATAGCACACAAACTAACTAAAGCCCTCCAAAGCATCCTAAGTTAACCAAAAGACCCAATAACCACAGAAGAAAAAACAAGAATCATCTAAATGTAGAGTGTAAAAACTACAACAGCCACTACATAGAACAGACAGAAAACTAATAGAAACATCTATAAACACCAACTAGCAGTAAAAAACATGATGAAAAACTCTAACTTCATAACATATCAACAGCCATAGTTTCAACTGGGAAACTCTGCATATCTTAGACCAAGCCAAGTCCAAAAAGGCTAAAACATTCCAGGAAGCCTGGCACTCTAACAAATCGGCCATCATTAGGCACACATAGATATAAATATCTACATATTGTGCAAAAGAGACAAGCCAAAGAGACCAAATCATCTCCACACCAGCAATCAGCACTCAGATCAGCATAGATTAACACCAAGACTATCATCAGATCAACAATTAAGAAGTAAACAATACCCAAATAAAAGAATTGCTAAATTCTTTGCCCAACCAAAGAGAATTGCCCAACCAAAGAGAATTGCTCAACCAAAGACAGCAAAGAGCCCAGCACTGGGAGAGCAAACTACTAAAATATAAACTGACAATTAAACTGCACTCCTTATTAGCACCGATGATGTTACCTTGTTTGGATAATGAAATTGTGCAAGCAAACCACCAAATTCAGAGGGCACCAAGGAATCACCTTGCCCTCCCTCATTTTAACCCTGATCTTCAGGTATTCTCCTTTATTGGAATATCTGTCCACCCACAGAAGATGACTCTGCAGGCATACCCAGGCAGTGGACTCTAGCCACCCACTCTCAGCATAACCTACCTCACAGGATTGTTTTTTTGGGGGAGGAATGGAAGGAACAACAATTATGTACACTTCCTTAAACTCGGGAAGAAAAGGTGGGCTATAAATCAAACAGATTATAAATCCATAGAACGTGATTGCCTGTCTTCCCGATCTACTCTCTTTTACATGTTTTACCGCAGTGTTTAATGCTGCTGTCCAAAATATCTGGAAAGAAAGCAGAGATTGGGAATTGTTGATTTATATCGTATTAGATGCATCTTTCAATCCATTAAAACGGTTGTTTCAATCTCTCGCCTTCCTTAACATTTCAATAACAAATGCCATAAAGCTTAAAAAGATTCTATGTTATAATTCACTAAGTCTACGGAAAATTACCATAGATTTTGTCCACCCGCGTAAACACTGAAACCCCAACTCTGCAAAACAGGGAAAACGTTAACGCTGTTTTAAAGCTTACTACATTAATTAATGTTGAATTATTTATTCTGAATAACCTATCGGGCAACACCATATAAAAGAACTGCTTTTTATTACTGAAGACTGGAGAATATTAAAGTATTAATCCATATGATTTAAGAGTGCCTGCCAGGCACGCTTTTCGCCGCTGCAACCACTGCATAAGGATTTACCTGTCAACCGCTGCCTCAATTTCCCATCGACAAGGGGAATCAAAGGAAAAAAAACGGAAGTCACCTCAATTTGAGTCGCACAATATTTCCGGTCACATGGCTAAATGTGACCACGCATAGCCGGAAGAGACCCCCTCCTGCAACTTCGATTACTCCGAACGAGAAACCAAACGGTGGGGCGGAGTCAAACGTTCTAAATCGGGCTGAGGGGGCGGGGCATGGAAGACAGAGTGGCATTTCTACTGGCTACGGCGATGGGCAGAGGAGGCCACGCCTATTGGCTGAGAGCAAATCGATTTGATTGGTTAAGAAAAGGGAATGAGGTATTTCAGAGCGCGAAACTGAGTGTAAATAAAGAGGTGTAAATAATTTTTTTTGGGGGGGGGGGCAAACTGGTGATAAGAGCAAGAGATTTCTCGAAAGCACCAATTAATGGGCGGCCAGTGACCGCATGCTATTTGCTTCCAAGCAGAACAACATTAACCGAAGAAAGAAAAACAAACGCAAGAAGGACGACCGGCAGCTCCTTGTGAAGAGGCGGAGTCTCGGAACTCTTTCCCGGAAAGGTTGGATTCTGGGAGCGTTTGCCCGAAAGCCCAGCGGGCACGTAGCTTGAATCCCCCTTCCCCCGTTTTTATGCTGTGTTTAAGATGGCTGCGTTCCACTTTTGAGTTAGCAAACCGTAAATCACCTCGAAGAAGGCTGGTTCTTGGGTTTTTGTTTGTTTTTGTTTGTATGATTGTGGCTTGTCCCCTTTTGTGACTGTCCCAAGTTTTTCATTCGTTTCTAATCTCAGCAGATGGCAGCACCTGATTTACCTGCAGATGGCAGCACCTGACTTACCTGCTCTGGGCTCAGTATTTGGATGAAAGTCCCAAAGGTGCTTCCCCACCCTCCAAGAGGCCACACAAGAGGACTTTCTGGGGTTTTTTTTAATGAGACCTTTGGCTTCTTCTTGGATGAGAAGTGAAACGTCTTAAAAAACAAACAAGCATCCCAGCCAGTCCAGTTGCCTCTTGAAAAAAAGCACTTTTGGGACACCCGTGACCTGGATGACTGAGAATCTCCATAGACATTTGGATGAAAGATCTCAAGAAGAAGAAAATCAGACCCGTAGGTTAGCCATAGGAAGTGAGAAGAAATCTTGGAATAAAGCAGTGGCAAATCATTGCTGCAGCGCTGGCCAGAAAACTATGGATCAGGGATGTCTTCCATTCTTAAATGTGTGTGTGAGAGAGAGAGAAAGAGAGAGAGAGAGAAGAAAAGGTACTTACTTTCTGTCAGAGTTCTAAGGAATGATATGACCTCTGTTGTTTCTCGAGAGTAACTGTTCAACCTCTTCTCACTCTCAGGTCTATCTTAAATATTCGGCTCATCTTCGTTGCCATTGTCTGAACCTAATTTCTTCCATTTAAAATATGTGCCCAGAACTAGATGCAGTATGCAAGATGAATATTGTTGTTATCCCATCTGTTTCCATACAGTATACATAACTCAAGGCAGCAGATATCTAATCCTCCTGTCTCATGTTTTCCTTACAATAACAGCCCGGTAGGCCAGATTGAGAAGTATTGGCCAAAGGAAGCCTGGAATAAGAGTTTTCTAATTTTTAAGTCAGCATCTTAGCTGCTACATTAAACTGGCCCTCAGTACCAATATGTCCCCTATAGAGAGGAGTGATTACAGTAAAGTCAGCGATACACAATTTTATAGTTTTTGTAGTTGCATCATATTGATGACTCACCAGTGTATATTTGATGTTTGTACATGTGCAGTTTCTGATGATTCTAAGTACAAAATTATAACCAAAGGAAACCATGTTTATAGACACTTTCATTGGGATAATCACCAATTACGTTCCTTATTTACTGCCAGCTTTGATCCCAAGAATTTCTCTCTGTATGTAGGGTTTTTTAAAAAGTTGATTATATAGAACTGCTTTTGATATTTTGGTGACCAGTTTGGTATAGTCATAGTGGTTAAGGGATCAGGATAGAAACTTGTAGACCATGAATTCTCATCCTGCCTTAGCATGAAGGTGACTGGGTGATCTTGGGCCAGTCACTCTCCTGCCTAGGAGGCAGGTAATGAGAAACCACTTTTGAAATAGTGCCAAGAAGACTACATTAACTTGCCTAGTTTGGTACTCATAATGTCATACTTTAGGGGACTCAGTGGCTAAGACGCTGAGCTTGTTGATCAGAAAGGTCGGCAGTTAGGTGGTTCAAATCCCTAGCATCACGTAATGGAGTGAGCTCCTGTTACTTGTCCTAGCTTCTGCCAACTTAGAAGTTTGAAAGCATGTAGAATGCAAGTAGAAAAATAGGGACCGCTTTGGTGGAAAGGTTCCATACGCCTTCAGCATGGAGTCATGCCAGCCACATGACCATGGAGATGTCTTCGAACAGCGCTGGCTCTTCGGCTTTGTGACAAAGATGAGCACTGCCCCCTAAACCCGGAAACAATTAGCATGTATGTGGGAAACTTTACCTTTGTCATACTTTGAATGACTTTCCAGTTTGAAAATTGTCAATTTATTCTATTGTTTTCTGCTCTTTGATCAGTTAATAAAAATGTATGTCTTCCTATTCCATGATTGCTGAGTTTCTTTTTACCTTTTGTGAATGACCATTTATTTATTTACTAGATTTTTATATCAAGTTTTGGAATTCCCAGTACTTGTTCTATTTAATGTTGTAACACTTGTCAATCATTCTTTAGATGTTGACAGTTTGCAGTTATATTTAATAGCTGTGAGCTGAATTGCTTGCAGTTTTGTTAATTTAAATGATTTTGTCTCATTTGGTTTCTTTCTGGTTTGAACAATAAAGCATTAAAAGTGTATCAAACAAACCATCAGGAACGTTTTAAAGCTGTATCTTATTTCTTTGGAATAGAGGCAATAATCACCATTTGTCAAAAGCGCTTTGCTTATGTCTGTTAGATTTCCTTAAGAAAGGGGCTCTTTAGAGCCACTAGCAATAGGGTTTCTGTCCTTCATTTCTGCTGAAGGTGTTACTGGAAAATAAACACATCTGCTTCCTACCTCCCAAAGCTATTTATGATTTGTTTGGTTTTAGTTTTACCTGTACCATGGTTAAGCAAATATTTTCCTTCAAGTACTGTGCTGCTTCAGTATGGAGGAAGAGGAGCTGTTGTTTTTGAGTGGGGGAATGAAGAATTCTGGGAAACTACAAGAAGAGGGATGAAGTTTATTCCAGCAGTCCAGTTAAATCACAGAGGCAACTACATTAAGCAACAGTCATATAAAAAGCTATTAGTGTAGAAGGCAATAGTAAACCATTCCATCATGTTTTTATCTCATCTTCAGGTGCTGGGTTCTTTTTACAGATGGCTGTGAAGATTTGTTGACCACTGCTCCTATTACAGAACACTCAGTAGGAACAATGCGAAGAATTTTTTTTTCATGATGTTGCTGTTGATATTACGATGATCTCATTGCTGTTCCTGCCTTATAAAAGTGAGATCTAACATTTCAGAGTCATGTGCATTACTGTTTCTGCTACGTGTGTAATGGAGCAATGATGGAAAATGATTTTCACAGTAGTCTTACTTTCAGTATTCATCTTGCCATTGCTCTTCCTCCAGGCCTATTTTATTTTAAAAAGAGAAGGTGAGTGCTTTCTGTAGAACTCTCTCACAAATGGTGAACATGACTTTTAAAGAGGTATAGCATCATTTTTCAAGAATACCAAACACGAGTTAATACAGGTAGTCATTGACTTACAACAGTTCATTTAGTGACAAATGTTACAATGGCACTAAAAACTGACTTATGACCATTTTTCACACAATCTTTGCAGCAATCCTCATGGTCACATGATTTACATTTGGATGCTTGACAACTGGTTCATATTTATGTCATTCCAGTATCCCAGGGTTACATGATAATCTTTTGTGAACTGACAAGCAAAGCCAATGGAGAAGCCAGATTCATTTAACAACCATGTTACTAAGTTAACAACTACAGTGATTCACTTACCATATGTGGCAAGGAAAGTCATAAAATAGGGCAAAACTCACTTAACAAATTTCTCACCGAGCAACATAAATTCTGGGTTCAATCATGGTTGTAAGTCAAGGATTACCTATAAGGCCTCTGATTAAAGCCCAACCTAGAAACACATGGGCAATAGCATTGGAAGTCACATATCTTCTTAGCCCAGCAACACAAAATGGCCTTGGAGCATGATGCTCAACAACTGGAATGGGGGAGTGAGCATATATAATGCAACTGAACATGTTCAGTAGAAATTGGGTCGACCTTAGGCTCTAATGGTGTAATCATCATGGTGCTGATGAAATTCCAACATTTGTATAACATTTTATCCTCAAAATCTTGCCATTGCATCCTATCATACAACAGGACAGGATGATCCACAACACGCTGCACAGCTCTCCTGGATAGAAAGGGTTTGATTAAGGAAAACAAGGCTGAAGGAGTGAGGGTGCCTGAAAGCAGCCATTGTATTGTATCCTCAAGTGGGGAGGGTGCCAAGAGCCAGCTGGTTTTACTTATTTCCTAGTAGAAGGCCAATTGGCTGGTTTTAAGTTGTTTTCTGGCAACAAGAATGTTTCTTGCTGTAGACATGGTCCCATCTGGGATCTGGCTTTAAGAAGACAGTTCTGTAGTTACACAAAGAGATCATATTTTTCCTGTGAACTGAGGAGAGAGTCAAGGAGTGATGAGGATGATTAGAGAATTCCCAAACTTTCTATAAGCCCACAGTCCTACAAAATCAGTAACTTGAAACAAGGATGTTAGTTTTAAGAAATGTGAATAAAGGTTTCATAGCTTACTTAGTTAGTGTGGTACAAATCAAATAAGCAATTTGCTTAAAGTATAGAACAATGTTCTGCTTCAAGAATTCTGAAAATATGAATGTTCATCTATGCCTGTTTCTGTTTTAGGAAATCATTTCTACACCTTTAATAGATTGAAAATAATCAGCCACTCATATTTTTGATCCATTCATGCAAGAAAAGGATAAAACCTAATTTTTAAACACAGTAGACATTGAGGCGGGGGAAGTTATATGATTAGAAATACATATCACAAAACATAGTTAGAAAAGGGTGCAAGCAACCTACATTTATTTAGATTATTAGGCTTTTATGTGCTCCATAGACATTGAAGGGT